GCTCTGTACGTTGAATCATTTTGATCCAATAAGTTGCCTATGACTAAAGAGCACAATCCGAACACTTTTCCTGTGCAGTACTTCCCAGAAAAAAAGGACATTTTTAGGAAATGTTCATTTTTTACAACTTTTTAGAATTATATGATTACTATGATTAGTAATTACTAGTACAAACAGCCCCCACCCTTAAGGCAGCATTTCTGCTAGTATTTGTAATGCTGACAAGCTCTACTCATCATAGTTAAGTTAAATCATATTTAGATGTAGCACACAACAAAGTAAAGGATTTTAAAAGCACTTAAAAAAATTCTAAAAAGACCTCTAGTTATATTGATGTTGTACTGTATAATTTCACTGAAAGAAAAGGAAAGCAAAACTTAAATATATATTCACATTATATTTGGTAATCGATATTGGTTATGTCACAAGTTTAGAAGTTGATTTCTATACAAATATCCTACACTCATGAGGAAATGTCTTACTACAATGACAATTACAATAAATGTCAGTGGGTTGAAAACTTTTATGGCTAATTTAATTGCCTTTTATAGTGGTTTTACAAGGTAGATCACTTTCAATGTTTAGAATTATTAGCTTAAAATACTTACTATTGTTCTGTTATGAAAAATTCATGGTGAACAAAGTAAGAGGAACAAATACATACACTTTAATAGATGACAGGTAATACTGAAGGTAGTTTAGAAAATAATATTTCAAAAGCCTATTATTTTGTTGTGGTAATTAGTATCTATATAGATAGAATGATTAAGTTATGGCTTTCTCGAAACCTTTATTTTGCTTTGAAAGGCTATGTTTTTTTGCCAGTCTTTCTTGCCATTCACTGATATCAACCTAGCTAATAAGATACATATGTTCAGTTGGGAGGCTAATGTGCTGATAACATGCATTTTTATTGCTAATATTTATACCTTTTTGCCAAATTTCTTGCCATTCAATAATATCAGCTTAGCTAAGTTACATGTTCAGTTGGAAGGCTAATGTGCTGACAACCAGACACTTATAGTCACTGTTTAGTGTTGTTATCTGCACTTAGACCAAATAAATGTGCCACTTATAATGTGTCTGGACCAGTACATAACCACACTTTTCACACAGTTTGAGGATAATTTTCTGGAAACTGTTGTTTAATTGTAAAGGCTACGTGTTATGTTTGAAATGTAGATTCAGTCTGACAGTTATGTTTTTTATAATTGTTGAAAGAAATTTTAATAATTCCAAAAGTTTAAAATACTAAACATGTTATCACGCCATCACAAATCTATTATTTTGCAGTATTTGTGTAATACACCTGTGACCACTGTTTTTATATATATATGCTACAAAGTATGTCAATACACAATTTTTTAACACTTGTATTATGTGGTTGTGTAGAGAAAATAAAAGAATTTATTTTAGAACAAATTAGCTGATGCAGCAAGGATGTTAATAATATGTGATTTTTACTTCAGACCAGTTTCTAGAAGAGCAATATTACTTATTTCAGTTCAAAGTAGATTCTTGGTTCTGACCCCATAAGACCAGGTATAGTGTTTCACATTACTTCTACATGTATTGTGGTCATATTATGACAGAAAATAGGCAAATTATTATCAAGTGGAATATAATTTTATATTGATGTATTTTGGGTCTATGGTTTACTTTTAAGTCAAAATAAAAATTCCTTCTAAGGAATTCAGAAAGTAAAACCACCAAGCTGTGCTGTAAAAAGTATCATACCAGTTGAGCCAGTTAAGTTCAACCTTATCTACTATACCTTGAACCTGTACAATTTCCCATTTTGACCTTTACCCTTGGTACTTTAGAGATTGGGATCGTTTTTGTAGGTATCCCATTTATTCCAACCTAGGAGTAGTAATTAATTGGTAATTAGGTTATGATGATCGTACAGGCTACTAACCATAACTATGATATTCTGACCTCATTAACTTTCATAAAGTTAGAACTCAACAATGATATAGCAGATGGTAGAGTCACAGTCTTATGGACTTAATTCTTCCAGCATCTCTTCTTCTACTAGTTTTAAGAATGTTTGTGTGAATGAGATGTATCTTTCTGCCTTATAGTCAAATAGCAGCTGTTTTGCTGGTTACTGCTAATATTCTTGAGGAGTGTTCTTCTCAACATTCTTGTTCCTCCAGCTGATAACCTAAATTTCTGGTCATTAAGACATTAGCTGAGAACATTCCTCTAAAATTTCAACCTAGTGGCAGTGAAGAATATAACATGTCTTTCGTGGAAATGAAACTATATTAGTATTACTCATACTGGCAATATATTCATCAAGACTACATTATATCCACTACAAGATGTTATGGCTTTTTTTGCTTTTTAATAGCATCTGGCAAGAAGGAACTTTCCTGAAATATGGAATCTAACTGTATCTCACAAGTTACTCCTATTATAGGCCTTTGCTTTGACTGGCTAACTTTGTAAGATGTTACATAGAGAATGGTTAATCATGTTTAAGTTCTTGAATCAAATAGCTTCCTCTCCAACACAGATCCACCTTGAACAACCTGATGGGAAACATCTATTACGGTAGCTTTTGCTAAACAAGACTAACTTGTTTCTATACCTTTTGCCCTAGGAAAGGCATACAATATTACTTGGAGAATCCCAAGAGTTTTGTCTCTAAGAAAAAAAAAAGGAACATCCTCATGTGCCATGGTATACTTATATGAAATTTAGTATTTGGAGCTTGAGTGCTAGAGTTTGGGCAGATAGATGACAAAGACTCAATTTCCAAATAGTTTATATTTCTATTGTTTGACATTTGCTTAACCTCTGTAAAGCAAGTCTTTTCCTTCCCTGACTGCAGTTTAAATTACTATCTATTATTATTTATTCCTAGATGTGTTCGAATTCAAATTATCATTTACTGTCATATAATTCTAGGTATAAAATTTCCACTTACTTTTAATTGGACTGTACTTTTATGTGTGAAAAATTAACATTTCCTATTAGTTACTTCTGGATGTACATGTACCAATATTATGCTCTTTTAATTATTTCTAGATACACATTTATAAGTGTTACAAAGATCTCTAATTGATTTCTACATGTCTGTTGATTTAATCATATTCTGTCACTATTATGCATTAATTAGCAAAGGTACATGGCAATGTCAGACTTAAAATGTAATGGTACAAATGAGGGTGTTGACACCCCTTCCACTGTTTTGAATTGTAAGACATGAACTATTCTACTGATGCACAGGTACCCAGGCTACACGTAGCATTAAGTATGCTTTGATTGTATTTTGTTTCTATTCACTCAGTTGAATCTTCATTAAGGTAGTAAAATTTAAATGGATGCTACACTCAAACCACTTGTTCAGTTACTTATCAACTTTGAACTTGATCTTTTTGAGGTTCACCTTAGTTCCTCTACCAACTTTCATTAAAATTGGTTTGTTCTATTTCTCATGATAGACAGGCAAATGAACAGTTCTTCTTTATATATATAAAAATGTTACCATGTTTTAATTATTTAAGCATGGTAGTTTTGTTTTTAATGGACACATGTTATTCTTTGATTTTTAGATTTGGATTTACTAGAAGCTTGTAGAGAGGAGTTCCATCGAAGATTGAAAGTATATCATGCTTGGAAACGTAAAAATTTGAAGAAAGGCGAGGCACCTAAGAATAGAGCTCCACCATTAGTAATGGATTCAGGTATTTTAAGATTTTTTTTAACCTTGTGATATCTTCATTTTCTTCAGTTTTTATTACGGTTGTAACAAAGGGAAGATTTTGGTCTTTGAAGGTTTTAGAACACATTACCGAACAAAGGTTTTAACCTTCAATAGCATTGATTTGTATAATTCATTAATGATGTCCCCATAACTACTAGTTTATATTTGATTGAAAACCCTTTTATCTTACAAATAATCTATATAAATGAAATAAAACATATACATGTAGTGTTATATAGAACAGTAATCAAGTATTTGATGCGACATGCAGTTTTCTTATAATTATGTACAGGAAGCATGCATTGCAAGAGCACCTTATTGCAATCGTTAAAATAATTGCATCTGGCTTAAGCAAAACATATCTTTATTTAACAGTAACTTTTCCAAGAAGGTTAACAGTCATTTTTTTAACATAAGATTGTTGATCAATTAAACATAATAATAGTAATAAACAAATAACAAAACAGAATAGAGTAATGCTAACAGTTCAGTTAGAAAACAAATATAATCCTCCAACTATAACAAATTAGATGAGAGAGTGCTGTTATAATTGTTTTTGAACAACATTGTTGATTAATGAAACATATGCTTTAGGTGGGGTGAGGAGTATAGAATTATACTGGTGTTCCGTTTTCAACAGTCTGGCATGGCCAGGTGGTTAGGGGGCTTGACTCGCAATCTGAGGGTTGCAGGTTCGAATCCCTGTCCTACCAAACATGCTCGCCTTTTCAGCCATGGGGCATTATAAAGTAATGGTCAATCCCACTCTTTGTCACATTATAACAACTTTTAATACAACTTTCTTTTAAGTAATAGGAATTATACAAATAAAAAAAAAGTTATCATTTATTGAAAGAATAATAGTTGTTTTACAACTAGTATTTTTAGTACCACGCTTAAAAACTACATCAATAAAGATATAATTAAACCCTTATGTACAGTCCTAGTGAGAGTCATGTTGTTGTGTGGGAGAGTACTTTTATTTAAAATTATGTTCTGTTATAAAGAAATGGTTGTTGTACATACCACAGTTATTATTCAAACATTTTCAAATGATTTTTGTTAACAAGAGAAGAAAAAAAAACATCTGAAATTGCTTGAATCCAGCCTGACAAACCTTTGAATGTTTAAAACTATCTCCAAATTCCTGGTCAACAAACAAATCTTTGAACATAGCCCTCATTTTTATCATTTATACTGTCACTTTCATGCTTCTTGTTCTTTTTTTGACTGAATACTGATATTACTTTTCTGTTTTTTGCTTTCACCAAATATAACTTTGATCTTTCTCTTTCTGTATTTACTATCATTTATAGTAAATTCTGTGCTGATCTTTCTGTTTCTTGGTTTATTATTTCATTGAAGTAAAATATGTAGTAGCTGAATTGCTACCTTTTCTGAAATGTGAGTAGCTGAAGAACAAAAAAAAGCCAGATTGGATGAGCTTCATACAATATTGACATATTTCCTGTAATCAAAATAATCTGATTCTTAACTTTCATACATTCTTGTATTAAAATAATTTATTCTGAAATGAATACTTACATCCATACACAGATAGCTAATTCTTCTTGAGTTTGTGCATTCTGCTTGAAAGATTTGTATGTTACCAACCTTGGGAAAACTCCCAACTAATTTCACCTGTATCCTTGTGAATTTGTGCTACTACATGATAATGTATCATGAGCACAACACACCTCCATATGAAAATACTTCCTTTATATTCGTGCAAGAATTTTCATTTATTTCCTCAGCACAGTTGTATTTAGATGTGCTTTGAGTATGTAAAGAATTGCAGTTTTTTTCTCAACTATCAAATTTCAATTTAATTGAGCTTAACATACTTAATATGATTTGAAAATCAATGTGAACTGTATCTTTATTAATGTGGGTGAAGAAATTTTTCACACAGAATAACTTACTGCCATTTCTGCTAAAGTTCTTTATCTTTGAAAGATGTGATGGCCATCTTACATTGTGCAGAAGGGTCATTATGCAGCCAGAACCCTCTGTTGTGATCCCTCCTATTCAATCGAGCCTGATGTTGAAGAGGATGATTTTGGGTACAATTTGCATAGAATAGTTCTCTACCTAATGAATATCTTTTGACTTTTCCCACTAGCCTTATGTAAGCCTTCTACATGTGATTTACTTTTTTCTCCCTGACCAGTTAGTTCTGTATCTAGCATTTCCTTCAGACTCAACGGTACTCGCTGTTTTATTCCTCATTTTTCCTGCCTTACCAGATAACATGTACAAGTTACTGTTTAGATATAGTTTATTTCTCCTAAACATGTAACTCAGGATTTAATGTGTAGACATTGTTTATTACTTCTTAACCCTATTTCCCCAGCACCATTTTTAAATTCCTTTCTGTGTATGGAACTGAGTTACATTTAAAATTTAATTAAACAACTTTACTATCCATGTATGTCAAGGAAATTAACATTATAATGTATATTATAATTTGAATTTTTATGTTATCTAAGTTTTAATTTAAAAAAAATACTTAAACTACAGTTTTCGTGTCATATGATCCATGAACTTTGAAACTCTCAACTTTAGCAGAGGTTTATTCATATCCACATGTAAGCTACAAAGTCTTATAGTTGCCAACCCTTGATGGGTGTCACGCCCACCTTCTGTACTTTGCCGTGATATTTACAAGTCACATATACATACTTGATACAAGTGTATATAGTTGTTAGAAAGAGCTCAGTTTACACTATACCCCGCCAATGGTTAATTTGGAATTAACATGCAGTTTCCATCACAGGGAACATGTAACTGCTGTAAATATTGTTGTGTTGTTTCATTACTCTTTACCATAGATACATAGGAGACAATATTTCAATATTGTTGATTCTTTTATAACTTGTAACACTGATGATGATATATAAGCTTTAATAATTACTCCTTAACATGTCCACATAAAGGTTAATGTTTCTTCATAATTCTTTACTCCTTCACATGTCCACATAGAAGATAATATTCACTTCAAGTCAGTTATTCCTTAATATATACACTTGGAAGAAGATGTTTAGATCTTGTAAATTACGTAGACCATAATGATTAGATCTGGTTAATTACTCCTTTTGAAAATAAGGTTTACACATAATCATTTACTCCATAACATGTCACACATTGTAAATAATGTTTAATTTTCCTTCCTTACTCCTTAACGTATACACATGGAAGATAATGTTCAGACATAGTTTGGGTCTATTCTATTCAGGTGAGTTTCATAACCTGTTATGTTCTAGGGGCACTGTAAATTATCATAGGATGCCTTCCTGACATAACCACTTACAACCCATGGAATGGTTCCTCACCCATTAGTCTTCCATTGTTTTACTCTCAACATGTTACTCTTGCCACACCCTTCATTACTAACTTTCCTCTCTTCTGGTCCCCTTTGCCTCATTCCTCAGCCTTGTATGTTTATGCCCTCAGTTAGGACTGGTCCCATCTTTTTCATTATGCTTATTCTCCTTTTCTTTCAGGTGCTTACTCTGTTTTAGGACACAACTTGTGTGGTCCTTTTGATGGCACCTTACAGGCAATCCCAACCATGGTTTATATTACTCCATCTATTCATGTCTCAGCCCTGACTTCTCCTTCCCAATATTCCATCCCTTTTGATCCACCCTCACACATTACTCTTTTCTTGGGATATAACATCCATTTATCTTTATGTGTGGGATTTGTCTGGTCCACCTCACTGATTGTGTAGCTGTCACTTTGTTTCACTCCTGTCACCATTTGCCTTTTGATTTCATTGTGTTGTAATATATTTTTCCTCTTTCATGGGACTATTATTTTGTGAACTGTATGTTTTATCTACCTCAGGTTTTCAGGTGGCATTTCCAGCACCACTTTCTTTTCACAGTGTCACAGGATAATTTCTTCTCTGGCTCTTATCTATTCTCTTTCATACCTTCCTTATCTATTACCCCCACCCTCACCCCCTTACCTGACTGAAGTAATGCTATGGTTCTTCATGCTCTTACCTGGGTGCCGATCAAACCTATAGCAGATGTTCCTGTTCTCCCTACACACATTAATCCTCTTCTCTTCCTACTTGACTGTGATGCCATTGTTCACATATCTTTGCCCATGTTTCCTCCTGCTCTTTCATTACTGCACTTCTTCATCCTGGCTGATCTTTCATTCCTCTGTATTCCACGGCAGGCATTATGGTCACTCCTTTTCTATCATATCCCCTCCTTCTATTATTTCCCTTCTCAGTATTTGTTTTGATCTGGAAAGATGCTCATGTTTTGTCTGGGCTGCTCAATGTTTTGTCATTCATTTCCTCCATTTGTGATTCCCCTCATTATTTTTACATACCTTGGGACCCCTCCTGTACCTGAAGGCTTTCTCCTTCCCCCATTACAGGTTGGATCTACCAGCTCATACATCTTGTATATGCCCCCTCTAGAAGTGGATGATTGTATGCTTCAGTCTCTTCTATTCAGTTTTTCTCCTCCCAGTTTCTTGCACCTTTCTCTTTTCTCTGAGTTCACATGTGAACTACCCCCCCACACCTCTTCATCACCAATTATTTGCATCTTCTGGCTATTTCATCTCTGTTAGGATTTAGATTTCTGCTCATGGCCATTCTTCAATTCACCCTCCATCTGTCGAAAAGTAAATATACATATTTCACATCTCCATATCACTAAAGCATCCAACTATGCAGCTTGTGTTGCATTCTGGGGTATACTTACCCAAAATCCTTCATCAAGCCAGGATAACAGAAAACGCTCATACTATACACCCTCTCTGTATATATGTGCTTGTGTGAGATGGGGTGTTCTGTAAGACTATTTGAGGTTTTATCGTGGTATTTCTAAATATATGTATATTATTGTTCTTGTGCTATCCAGACCCATTCAATGGAATATCATGGGAAAAAGCCAGCACCAGATTTGTTGTATCGGCCTACGTCTCTGGCCTATGCTTTCCAGATTTTAAATTTTGGTTTTGTGGTCATCCATTGTGCTGTTTCCAGTAAAGGACCTTTCTGGACAGAGAGATCAATGGTATCCAGGCACATTCTCTGGGTTTCCCACATACGAATTCCACCCTCACCCCATTCATCGAGTGGAGCATAGGAAATGTTTGCCACTTACCAGCTCCCAGCAGCTGGGGTAGTAGATCCTGGATAATTTTTAACTGATTGTGACCTAACTGCTGGGGCTAGCATAAGGTGAGAATTGGGGATCAGGTGTTTCTGGAGTGTAATGTAGTTCAGCCCACATACATATACATTACATACATCACAACTTCCAAGTGGACTGTGGTTACATATAACTGTATTGCTCATTTGTGTTTGTATATATATATATATCAATGTACACCTTTCTCTCAAAAATCCTGCTCTCGCAGTTGCCATGAGCCCACTGAGTCTGATGGTTGGGTAGATGAGCTAATCCCTATACACCTGTGATGTAGCATTCACACACCTTACTACTACAGCAGATAAGGGACCCTTTGCGACTTATGGTTGAGTACAGGTTATACAAGTATCCATAATGACATATTCTAGTACAATGCCCTCTTTCTGTAGTTGGTATGGGTTTCCGTAGTGACTGACAGTTGAAGAGGTGAGCATGGATACTTATTATAAGTATCCTTCTTCTGCAGCTGGTTTTGACCTGTCAGTCTGTTGGTAGAGAAGGTGAGCACACAAGGTACAGTCTGAATGAACCCCAACCTCACTACACATATTTGCCATCAGACAGCTTGTATTGCGAGTACCTGAACATTCACGTATCCATTCCACTAGTCATTGCAACACATTTATGTCTTGTCAGCCTTTTCTCTTCTTATACACGGATGAAGAGTTTACCCTGAATGAAATGAGATGCAGTCTCCTACAGGTGTGCCCTTATAGAGCCCCTGCCTTTGGGCTTCCTTTGGATGCTTTCTGAAGGTAGATCACATAGGTAATCTTTACACCCATCCTCTCATTGTGAGATTCTAGGTATCTGTTTTGGAAGATAATATTTTTCTTACCTGAAAATGTATTTCTGATAGATATATCTCTGTACACATTCTCCTCACTATCCCAGTGCATCTGTCTTTATTGCCTCGTTAAAAAGTGGTAATTCTCGCATGCAAATGTAAAGGGAGTATTTATGCATGGAGGTGTGTCATACTCTTATGGGTCACATGGAAACGTGTGAAATTAGGTGGGAGTTTTCACAAGGCTGGTGGTATGTAAATCTTTCAGGCAGAATATGTGAACTCAAAAAGAAATATCTATCTTTGTATAGAGATGAGTATCTATTATAAATACATTTTCAGCTAAGAAAAAATATTAACTTTTCTGAAATATGTACGGTTTTTAAACTTGATCAAAAACACAATTAAAGAATGGAATTATCAATTTTAGAACACCAAAACATCAGTTACTTAAGATCTTACTGTTACTTACTGTTTGATTTACTAGAGGCACAGGGATTCATTTAAGCCTATTATATTTGCTTAATTGTTAGAGATTATAGCATCATAACAGCTAGTTATTTTAAATTGCTGTTACAAATACTATAACAAATTAGCATACATAGCTTCCTATAGAAATCTGTGTAATGAAATTCAGAAATAAACATTCTTCATAATACAAACATTATACCATCTTGTATTTTAAACAAGAGTTTGAACTATAAAAGTTTTCACTTACAAATGTTAAAATAGGTAAACATGCTTAGCTAAATGTAAAGTATATTGAAAATGGCAAAATATTTCATCATTTGTACCTTCACATATATCAAAGTTCGGTCTTGTGTAGGATGTCTGTGTGTGCATGTAACTGAATTGTTAACTACGCATTGTGCAGCTAGTTAATATATGCAAAATGTATTAATATCACTCAGTTTGCTTTTGTTACATTTTATACTGGGTCATTTGGTACTTTTTTTTTCTTGACCTAGGCACTGACTTAGACTATAACTATTTATTCACTTAAAACATAACGTAAATAGAATAGTATGTTGTGCTATTTTTTCCAAGTTGGTGTTTGCTTTATTACTTTATATATATTATCTTATCTCAGACATATTTATTTTACTTTTTTTTTGTTATAACAAGCAGAATAACCCTCAATAACTAACACAAACATTGAAGCAACGTTGCTTTCCCACAGCCAGCTTCTTATATACCTGATTATTTCCACTGACTGTTTAGTTGTAGAATCCAAAACTTCCGTTCTGCTCTAAGTCTTCTGATTCTTTCTAAACCTCATGTTTCAGAGTTATGGTGAAGTTATTAATTAAAAAACTAGGACAAATTTTTCTAACTTGTCTATTGACTGTAGATGTAATATTAAAAATTATGAAAACATCATTGAATTTTTTATAAGTACAAAAATCCAAGCATTTTCCAGGTTTTAAAAGCTCGTACAAATTCTAACAAAGTCACTGACCTGTTCAAGCGAGTTTCCTGAAGTTATAGTCTGATCTATGCTTTACGGAGATTGATGGTAGCTGCAAAACTGTTGTAGAAATGACTTTTCAAGGGGTTTCACAAGTACAAACAGGGTTACACATTTGATAGTGAAATGGTAAAAATGAATCACTTCACACAACAATTATTAGTGGTGACTGCAGCAGACCTTGTTAAAAGTGTAGCTTCTACCTGCTATAACAGCTTCTATGTTTCTGTTACTTTTACTAAATGTTTCTAATCCTTCTGTATGTATATGTCTATCATTTTTAACTAAATACATTTAAACAAAGCTTGTCTCATAACTTCCACTTAATCTGCTTTTTTAGTATTAATGACATCTAACTAGAGTTCCACATCACTAAATTTATGTTTATTACAATAGTTCCTCCACCTCTTCCACCACGACAAACAAAAAATCCAGATCATCGCCAGAGGTACTTCCGTATTCCTTTTGTTCGACCTGGATTTTCACAGTCAGAGAAGGGAATGTGGTATGCACATTTTAATGGATCATATATTGCTCGACAAATAGAACTCCATCCTCGAAGTCCACCATTACTTTTTGTGGCAGGTTAGTGATTCTTTTCCATCTAATGTGTAGCTTATTTTTGATACCTCGAAGGTTACTAAAGAACCTAGCAGCTCTTAAACATGGAATTTTGAAAATATATTAAATGTGTGTTGTTTGTTCAGTTATATACACTTTGATATAGAACATATGTGTTGTTTCTTAAAGTTCATTGTATGCTTAACTTTGGTTTTGGTAACAAATCATTCAACTTATGCATACCATGATCACCTCTTATCTTGGTTCACTCAGAAATGTTTGCTTTTCTTTTAAGGTAAGGATGATATGCAAATGTGTGAGTTACCCCTGGAAGAAATTGGCATTACTCACAGGCGGGGAGCAGAAATCCTGGAAAATGAGTTTGAAGACTACTGGGCCAAATATGGTGGCAAAAAATATGTTCCTCCAGCTGCTGCACGAGGTTCAAAAAATAATTAAATAAACTTAAAGTGAATGCTTTTGGGTTTTTATGTAACATATGGAAAAAGGAATAAGAGTAAGTTTCAAGCTGTGGAAGAATTGTGAAATATGGGATAATTTGGAACTAATTTTAATGATTTTTTTCTTTTGTGGTGGAATGATAAAAGGTTCTGTCTGTATTACATTGTTTGTTTGTGGTTAAGGTAAAGTACAAGTTAAATGGGTTATAACATTTACACTATTGAATATAACAAGCAATTTTATTTTGTTAACTTTCCCCGTAGCAAAATAATGTTAATAAACCAGTATATACCTTTGTGGAATTTTATCAAATTACTTAAGTAAATAGTAAAAAAAAAAAATGTGGTGAAACTTAAAAGGTTTGGAAAATAATAAGTTTAGATGCAGAGAGAAACAATTCCCAGATACTGTTACAGAGCAGGTTCTTAAGTATAGGTCTTATCAAAATTAGTATTGTATACACAATTTGTAGCAGACATTTTATGAACCAATGTCAGGTATATACTAAAAGCATAATACCTGAAAATGCAAAAAAACTCATTTCTAAATTGATATAAGTTATTAGTAAGTATTAGTTTATTTTTTAATTATTACGGAAAGTGCATTCAATTATTTAAAAACATTAGTTCATTTTAAGGAGCCATGATAATTTTTTTAATGCTTTTCAGCAATTTGTCTAATATGTTCAGCTAACATTCAACTAGATGCTTTTTATTACTAAAAAATAAGAAAATTCAATAAGCAAACTCTAGGCTTCATTTCAGTTTTAGCTAAAAGCATATTTACACTTTTTGATATACATATTAATGTATTTATGTTTGTTTACTTTTTTTCTCCTTTGGTTTGTATTCATGATCATGTTCTAATGCAGTTTAAAATATACTTAAGGAAAAGTCTTTACTGTACTTTGACCTTGTGAGACTAACCATGTCTAACCTTAAAGACTGTAAAATTAACAGTTTCTTTTTTATATCTTAATTTTAGACAGTCTTTAATATTTGATTCATTTATTGAACATATGTAATGTTAAAGTTAATTCAAGTAAAGACATAATTTTCACTGGCTCTACTAATACTTAAAATAGTGTAACATGAAGAATATCTATTTTTATTACATTTCTTTGTCTCATTAATCAACTTTTATATTATGGTCATCATGGTTGGTAGTTTAAACTATCATCTGTGTCTAACCATTAATTAATTACTTTTCTTTTTCATTCAGAAACCTAAGTAACACAAGTTTGTGCTTTCTTCCATTTCTTTAATTTCATTTGTATAGATGGAAAATCAAAATTTTTGAAATTTCAAGTTATCTTATTACTTGGAGTCTTAAATCTATGGACTGTATTGTTTGAGTATTTAGCCTAATAAGCGACAAAACAACACATTGGCAATATCTCATCAAATATAAATATAATAATCACATATAAGTATGTTACTGTGCTGTTGAAATGTAACTTCTACAAAATTAAGCATTGAGCTTAATCTTTTAAACTGGAATACTATATATGTTTTGTAGCATTTATATATCCTGTTAATTTTAGGTATAATCACTATTTTTTATTGATATTTGTTTCATTTATTTTATATATATTGAATTTTGATTTAAGTTACTATTAATGGATCATCTGTGGTTAAGGATACTGTGATAATTTTGATCTCGGAAAGGAGTTTATTTTCTTTGTTTATATATATATAGGTGATGGGAGATATTGATCACAGAAGTATTTGTATTTTTTTTTTCTAGGTTCAGAAATTTATGACTATTTGCTCTTCCCATACACTTTAATTGTCATTTCCAAAGATACTTTAATAAAACACAAATTTGTCTTTCAAATGTCCAAATTTATTTATTTTGAGTTATTTATGTAGTGACAATTGCAAAATCTAGAATATTTGGGATTTCTTCATCCAAACTTTCTTGTTAATACCTTTTTGTAAAGTTTAGGACAAAAACAAAACATTTTCTAGGAGAGATTTATTGTGAAATTCATATGATAAGACTTATGCAAATATTTATTATCTTAAGATCATATTTTATATTTGTAATCCCTCTTTGTACTTGAAAATCAAGTTAGTATGATGACTGAAATACTAATGAGAAACCTGCCTCTGATAGTATATACATGGATAAAAACATAACTGTAATGTAACTTTTAATATCACAATACAACATTTCCTTACTATGTATGATATTAAATAGAAATCACACAACAATACTTAAATCTGATAGATGATATTGATGATAAACCTCATAGTGACTACACTAATTTATTTTACACTTACATCTAACAATATCGTGATGACTGAACACTTTTTGATTGCATAAGTTGCTGTTAAGTATCTAGCAATATCAGATTGTTATGGTGAGTAAAACAGATGATTTTACATATTTTTTTTATTGGTACATCTAAACATAACTGTTTAATGTTTGAAAATATGAGGAAACATAAAAGCTTTGCTTCTGCTGGGTTGAAATAAGTACTTATATAATCTGAATATAAGTGTAGATTTTAGTAATTTGGGAAATAAAAGGATTATAAAAGGTTCAAACTAGTTGAATTACTAATTTTGTGGTTTTATGTGTATTCATTATTCTATAATAAATAAGAATTCTATGTACTCATTAACTAAAAAAACATGCTTATTCATAAGGGCCAGGCTTGTTATTAAAAAAGAAGTTTATGACCAATGCAGCATTTACAACTTAGAAAAGAAAATTATTACCGAACATTTTCGGAGATTAGCTTTTCTGCAAGTTCATGGAATTCCACTGATTTTATTTTGACTAGGATGTTTTAAGTAATATCCTGATGCAAAGAGGAGAAAACAGTTTTGTTTAGAAGAAAAAAATATCAAAGGTTTGACTTTGCTGACTTATTAATGATCTTTCAATCACATCATGCATAAATTATGTCTGTCAAATCTTTGAGGTATTATGCTGACTTCCACATAATGCAATCACAGATCTCTATGTGACCTAATTCAGTTGCTTGAGCCAATCAGAAAAGGTGGGTTTTCCCAGTGTAACTCCTTTACACCTTGGGAAATGTCAATCACTTTAGTGCTCAATCTAAGTGGCTCTACGTAAATGATAATAAAATTTGAGCTACATGCCGTGCCATTCCAGATAATTGAAAGATGCTAATGTGACCAGGGAATTAGACATGGGTAATGAATTTTAAGAAAATTTTTCTCTATTGCAAATACAATTTAAGTATGTAAATATAAAGATCATTCCTTATATATATATAGTTTTGGAATATTATGAAATTGTATTTTACAGTGAAAATGATTTTCCCTAAGAATGATGGAATAGGTCTGCAGAATAAAAGGAGATTTGACAAGATATTTATTATGAAGTAATTCTGAGTTTTCTGACTTTGACTGAATTTATAAAAAGAATGAGAGTGTGCAAAGTGTACAACACAAATGCAAACAAATATTTATTTAAATTCAAAAACAATTAATATAATATGTGTTTTGGACAAAGGACAGCACCTTTGCTATATAGTTAGCTTTAAATTTTGTATGAAGGTTTGTTGGGTTCATGCAGAGATACGTGCAAACTTGTGGTTTCACATTTTATGTTTTGCAGTTTTTATGGGCATTAAGATTTTTACAATTACATATAATGAAAGCAACTTTTCATGTCCTAATATAACCTTTCATTAGTCATGAATTTACATAACTTCCATCCAGGGGATAGGTACTCCAGCTAGTTAATGTAATAAACTTGCTAATTAAGAAATAACAGCAAACTCTGTAGGCTTTCAATCCTTTTAATCTGTACCTACACATTTAACAGATTTTATCCAAAGTTTTCTGGTTGTCTGGTTTCTTTTCAACACAATAGAAACTGTTTGGATTGTTCTTCTCAAATCTATTCATAAAATCAATAAAACAAGACCCAACCATAATCAAACAATGACAATCAACTATTAGGCAGATCAGGCCTTACACCAAGAGTATGACAAAGAACAAAGGCAGCTAGAACAAAAACAACTTAATGACTTTCTTGACCATGTGTTATGTGAAAACTGCATATACCAGAATAACTGACAAATTTCCAATAACAGAATATTAAAGTATGCTTATATACCACAAAATTCTAATTGCCCTCCACCCATGCTATAAGGCAACATAAGTGAACATATTTTTATAAACATTAAGTAACCCTTAATAAAATTCACATTAGACCCCAAAATATGCTTAAAATCCACTTAGAAACTTCAAATTTTTCAGGACCTGAAATGGCCCATAGATCCCTGGTCTTTTATGCTTTGTTCCATGACACAAAGGTTCATAGGCGGTTTTGAGAACATGGGCTTATATCTGCATTTTACCAGCTTATTAAATGATTTATAAGGCAAATAAATAAGTTTTTAGAGTTCGTGTTACAAACTACACTATGAGACTAACCTGCGTAAACAAGTTTTTTTCTTAAGATACGGGTTATTTGCTTTAACAGTTTGATTACTAGAATTTTGTCAACATTTTCTTTTTTGAGATACACATTATATGCTTTAACATTTTCATCACTTGAGTATTGCCATTTTAATTTGTGGAAAAAGTTTTCCAGTATTATCTGTTAAAGAAAATTTTGAAGTATTTTTCTTAATGTGAAAGCTGTACATGTCATATACTTTTATATGAACTATGTTTCACTTAGAAGAATTCTAACTTCACAAGCAGTGTACCAACCTTAAAAATTCTTGTGATACACCATTTTTAACTCAACACTTCCAACAACAACAAAAAATAAAGAGCAATACATTGAGTCAGAGTTTTAAAAGCCAATTAGCATAGTTTCATGGTATAGCCAAATTTCATGAGACAAGAATCTATTTTGGGAAATCTTTCAGTTTCTTTCTGTATATACACAAAGATAAAGTGTACTATATGAAAACAATTTTGGACTCACCACATCATTATAATCCATGTCACAATGCTCTTACCTGATGATCATGCATCTTGAAAGTGGTCCTGTAGTGTAGTTTCATTCCAAAAAGCTCCTTCATAAATTTGTCGTGTCCAAAGTATAACACTCGCCTCCACTGGCTTCCCATAATTCATCTAGTGTATAACTGTTTCCCATGCTCTTTTTAACAGTACAATGACATAGGCATCCATAAACACTGCATCTGAGGAGTTGACTAGGGCGTCTTTGTTTGGTTGAGCTAGAAGTTTATGATCTTACAATACTAAAATCTGGGACTTATTCTCCTTGGACAGAGTGTTGATATAGCTTATTGTG